TTCTGCTCACGGGAATCACTATAGCTGGCAAAAAGTGCAGTGTGATTTGTGACAACCTGCTGGTGGATGAAGACAACATGATGGATGTCAGAAGCAAAGGCAGTGACAGCAGATCCATCTGTACTGGCAAGACCCCCAAAGCCCTGATCTTCCTCATGGGTAAGAAGAGAGTCCACGGAGGAGCCCTCAACCAAAAGGTCCATGATCTGATTGTGGACATGAAAGCAGGAAGCAAGTAGTGCCAAAGAGACAGACATCTTCTGCCTGAGCACAGGGGCACAGTCGTTGCTGTAGCAGAGAAGGGAAATAAAGCTGATTTTGTTGCAGATGTCTTTGCCTGTTTCTTTCAGATGGGGGCGTGCTGGGCAGGCAGCAGTGCTGTGACACTGTGATCTACCTGACCAGCTGTGGTGCAGAAAGGAGTAACATGTACATTCCTCATCAGGATGCTCAGTATTACTTGAGTGGTCTCCTGTCTATCTTGGGTAGTTGCTCCCTGTTATTCTCATTTTACTGACTGATTTTGGGGTGAAGATCTCTGATAACATAAAAGGCAGGAGGGAGGGCAATCCCTTTGCCCTCTTGTTCACTGCTTTGCTGTTTAAGTCGTGCCCTAATGCCAGTCATGGGTTTTGAGACCTTTCTCCTTCTACAAGTAGGCCACAACACTAAGGATAAACAGGACTTGTCTTTATTTTGAAGTTGCCTCTGGAACGAACTCAGTTCATTCTGGAGATTAACTATTGATCAGCAGAGCCTTGTGCTGCTGTTGGACTGCGTGGGAAGCACATGCAGAGATAGTCTGCCACCTGCTCACCTTCCACATCATTTGAAACCCCTTCTTATGCTACTTTACTGGGCAAATTGTGATTTTTTAAGAGCTAAGTTAACCTGTCTTGTGTCTGTGGCTTAGGGATCTTCTGAAAGTTGCTTCCTTTCCATCCTGCTCAGTTGCACTATCTGGCCTGAAGATCATGGGTCCCTGTAAGCCCCCTAGGAGGATGCAGAGTTGTGCCAAACACTGCCGATTTCCTTCTCCATTCACCAGTACAGCCCTCCCCTCCTACTCCTGCTTGCAACCCTAAACGGCCAGTCCGCAACGAGGCAGAACTGGTGTGCTTGAGATGGGACTGATGCAGGGAGGACTTGAGGGGTATCTCCGGCAGGGCCGATCTCCTCACACTTGGGCTTTCCTTGCTCCATTGCTTCTGCCAGCCATGGCAGCTGCCTGGCAGCAAGCCTGAATCCAGCACATGCCATCCCGCTGCAGCACAGATGGGCTGTGACCACTCAGAACGGTGAGACAGCCTGTCCTCTGTACGCCTGGGACCCCGCCATTGCACCAGGTGAAGCATAGGTGCTAAAATGCTTGGTCTGGTTTGACCAGACCTCCCCCACCACCTTCAGATTGTTGACCCACTGAGTCAAAAATAATTCCTTGTGATGACTTTTATGACTGTGCCACAGACATGAGGAGAACCAGCCCTGCTGAGCAGACTGAGAGCCCTTGCGCACTCTTTGATAACTGTTAATCTTCTCATTTAACATGGAGTTAGTATTTTGTAATTTAGTTGAATTCACACAGAGATCTTTAAACTGCAACTGCACCCACAGGAGCAGAAAGATGCCATAAGGGGAACCAGGCATCTAACGTATTAGCAAATGTTCAACAAATCTGCAATGACTCTATAATTAGTAAGCACAGTCTGATAAGCAGTGCTTGCCTAAGTACTAAAGGGATAAGACCACAAAAACACAAACTGGTTTTAGAATCTAACAATAAAAGCAATGCATCAAATGCAAGAAATTTAAAAAAAAATGTTTAGGCTAACCACAAGTTTTTTAAAA